ACAGAGGGATTCGATAAGAGAAGGAAACAAAGGAAGGTTACCGTAAATAAAAGTGGTGACATTCAGCAAAATGATGTTTCTGACTTTCCTCGATGGGAAACAGAATCCTCCGCCACAGACACCGCTTTCGGAATCCGAACACAGAGTTCCAACTTCGGGTTTGACTCAAACGGTTCGGGTTTTTATCCGAACGGGTATTCTCATTCTCCGGCGTGGGATCCGAACTCGAGTCTAGAATAACGGGCGTGTTCGATCCGTGACATGTAAATGGATGTAAAACTGGCGAAGAAGTGTGGCGCGGGCTCTGGCCGTGCAGAGAGAATGAGGTGGAACGGTGCCGTTTGGCGCGGGAAGGATAGAGAAATGAGAAATCGTGCGGCGAAGGGGTTCTAGAAGGGTCGACGTAGAAGGGCACGGTTCTACAGTATGACTGCCAAAGCATGGTTGGCTCTGGTGACGAAGAGGAGTGAAAAAAAGAATGTACACCTTGTGAGAGTGTCCTGAGATCGTGATGTCACCGTCAATCATCAATTTTCGCACCAAAAAAAAGCATTATATTCAGATATTTATATACTTTTTTCTCAAATTTTAAAAATAAATTATATAGTCTCGTATTTGGTCGGTAAGGTTGTTTCTTCTTGCATTTCTAAGAGTTCTTTTCCTATCTCCAATCCATGAATTTGTCCCTCGGTAAATAGGAAGAGGAAAAAAAAATTGGTAAGTGGTAATTACTATTTATCCAATTTTATGAAGTTTCATATAATTCTTATCTTCGTCTTACATGCTTTTGTTAAGTTTCTCCTTCACCTTCATCGTGCTCGTGTTCTCAGTTTGTTTCCATTCCTTCGTCTAGCTGCTTGTGGTGTGCAGTGTTGGTCTCCTACTATTCGTTGGTGGTTCGTGTTTTTCTTCCTCACTATGTTGATGGTCGCTCTTCTTTTTCTATTTTGGTGCGACAAGGGAATTTAGGTGCTTGGTTTAAATTTTTTGCATTTCGAAACGGTAAGTTGAATATGTAAAATTCACAAATTTGAAAATCCAATTAGGAAATAAAAAAGATCAAGGTTTCACGGCTTTTCAAACTTATTTTGGAAAATCCCGTTTTTTAAAAATCCGGTAATTAATTTAATTATTAATTAAAAAGTTTATCAGATTTGAACAGTTGTTTTGTTAAAAAGTTTTTTAATTTGTTAATTTTTTTTAATAATTTTTTAAGGTATTTATTATTATTATTTTATTTGTGAATGGAAAGTGAGGTGAATTATAAGTGGGGATATATTATATTATAGATAATTACATTGTAAAATAGAAAATTATTCTTTCGACATGGATTCTCAAATAAAATTTTATGTCACATGACTTCGTTTTTATGCAACCTTACAACTATTCATCTAGTTAGATCTTATATCTCATCATTTAAACATCTTCGTCATTATACTCCTTTAGACTAAGGGACTACTATACATATAAGGTTACAACTAAAGGTACAAATTTTCTTGCAAAATTCGGTGGAACAATTACTAATTACAGAGATTATGTTTGGCAAGTTAACGAAAGATCGACTATCATTATTGTTTTATTAAAGCTCTTTACACGCCTTCAATGTCATAAAAAGACTAGGGAGTTGGTGTATTATATATTACTAAGTATTTTTCGGCTTTATCAAATTGATTTCGTCCTAAGACAACTTTGGACAGAACACACCTTAGGTGTTGTGTTGTTTACTAAGACTAGGTGTCACCAACTAAAGTTATGTGTCGCCTATCAAGATTAGGTGTTGCTTACCAAAATGATGAACTGCCAACTACTAAGTTGTCTAGTCGAGTACATATCGTGATCTATGTGACTACTTAACGGTTTGTTAGACTACCTATCGACCTGTACCCCGACCTGCCTACCTATTGGTCCATCTAACTACCTTCTATATTACCAAAGCTAATGGCGTATTGTTAACCCTCCATTCTTCTCACTTTTTCTTTCTTAAAAATTCTTTCTTAGTCTCTTTTAGGTTTTAAATAATTAAAAATATATTAGATTTTTTGTTTTACTTTTTTTTTTAAAAGGTGTGGAAAAAACTAAGTTTTTTTTTTATGTTAAAAAATTATGGTTGAATTTGTGTTTTTTTAGATATTTAAATGTTTTATTTTTTAAAAGATAATGGTCTCTTACTTGTAGGAAATTAAAATAGAAAAAAAAATATTTATTTTGCTTTGTGCTTAGATAGGTCTTTGAATGGTGCATATTGAATTTTAAACCCTTTTATTAATTCTTTTAAAAATTTCATTAATGACCTTTGGGTCAATAAGAAGCTGACTAACTTGGGCCTAAAAAAAAGGTTTTGGACCTAGGCTTATGGATCACATATTTGTAGATCTATCCACCTTACTAATATATTCTTTTAGGGGACTGGAAAAGGTTCATCACTCCTTGGTTAGTGTTTGAACTTGGGAATTTGTTTTTCATTAAATGAAGTCAAACTTAATGCTTAAGCTCAAGGATGACATCATTTATTTATTTTCTTATTGGCATATTTAACATATCAACCAACCTTCTTAGTCTTCGACTTGGTGTGAAAATCTTTTACAAATTATGTTTTTCTAAAACTATTATTTCATAACATAGAGACAAAGTTTGGAAGAGATATAAGGTCAAAAAATGATAATGGATTGAATCCATATACAGTCTTAAAATTTGGGGAATGGAAACTTAATGTAAGGGGTCAAAAAGGTATTAAGGATTTGAACCCATATACAATCTCAAAAATGGGAATGGGAAAAAAAACTATAGTGTGCATCTATCATATTATATGTTAAAATCAATACGAGGCAAAAAACAAAAAAAAATTATTCCTACTTTCTTTTAGGTTCAAAAAAAAAAAAACTGATAACCTTTAATTTTAATATGTTAGACAATATTTTATTCAGTACTTTTGTTATCATCAATTGAGAATGAGGCACAGTTAGAAGATAAGTATTTCTTCCCTAATATCTTCCCAAAAAAAGTTGATTAAAAAAACTTTGAATTCTATATAATACTACACTTTTAGGAAGCCATGAAAAATCTTACCATGCCCCCCCCCCCATATCACAATAATTAATATTGCATATATCCACCTTGTGTCACACAATGTTGAAATGGGTTTTAGGATTGAACTTTCCCTCTTCTGCCTGGAAAAGTCATTGTATCCATTTTGTTTATAAAAGTTCATAAACCCATCCAAGGTAGGTTAAGGATGCAAAAAAAAAAGGGTATTATAAAGGTCCATTGTATTGAACTTTAGACTTAACCTTTTTTTAATTAAGTGCATTATTCTATAAAAGGGAAGTGAAACATGTTCATACAATAAGTCAAAGAATACTTCAAAATGATATTTTAAGCCCAAAATTTTCCAATTTCAAGTTTCCCCTTCATGTGTGATTAGTTAGAAAAACAACATAATGATAATATATTGAGGTTTAATTTTCTTTTGTATAGGTGAATTATAACATACAAATTGGGTGAAACTCTTTCAAAACATAAATAGTCCTATTAGTGAATCATCACAATTTGATTAACTAATCATAAAAAATTGTAATTAACATAATTAAGTACCATTTTACTTAACACATGCAACTTCACCTAAATGAATAAGTCCTTATAATAATAACTAATTTAATGATCAATCCTTATCTTAAAAGTCACCTTACTAAACCCTTCCATGAACAATCATAAAAAGTTCTTCATTTCCTTCTTAGACGTTCAATAATGTGATTTTGAAAAAATTACGGTGATTGAAGGTTGACTTGTAAATAAGTGTGTCAAACTTTGCTATCAATATTGTTGAAAACAAATTATGGGTATTACTTAGGTTGGTGTTGTTGGACTAAAATTCATTGTAAACATGAAAAGGACCTCAATAAAAGATACTATAATGGAAAGTGTGGGGGGTGCACATTTAAGTGTTCATTCCAATCAATAGTTTTGTGGTAAATATTGAGAATGAAACTCTTCAAGTTTGGTGGGAGGACATTTCTATCATTATAAAAAAATTTTTATTTCTTTCTTAAATTTTTCAAAACTTTTTTTAACAATAAAAAAATCCTAATAAAACTATCAAAAATTAAAGGAACAATACATCAAACATAATTGATTTTAAAGGATTTAAAGTCCGAACTAATTAACAAATATAATTGATTGAAAGGACATATTAATTATATATTGTTTTTACCAAGTTTTGAATCATTTACGAGGAAGGTTCCATTTACAACAAACTCTCAAGTCACTCGAAGAGAATAAGTGGAAATATGAAAATAAAGTAATTATAAAATTATAAGATTTTTCATACATGTATTTATAAATTTTTTAAATAATAAATAAAGAAATATATCAAACAAATTATGTTACTTGGAAGATAATCTATTATTAAATTTTAATATTTTATATAATAATTATTATGTCATATATCTTAGACATATTAAACAATAAAATATTATTATAATATCTTAAAAATATAATATAATATGATAATACATTATTATATTATAAAATATTATCTGTAAACATGATAAAAATATTTCATAATATCTTAAAAATAATAAAATATGATAATAGGTTATTATATTATAAGATATTAACTAAAAAAATATCTGGGAGATATACTTAATATCTGTATTTTACGTGTCAGTACACCAATTTTAATTATATACGAAACTTGAAAGAAAAAAACACTATTTTTACAATAGAATGAAGTTGCCAAATGCAAATGCCACGTCATATTGCAAACCTAATAATTTGACTTGTTAGAGTGAGAAGAAAGAGAACAGTCTGGGAACAGAGAAGGACGAAGACTCAGTTATCAAAATAGAGAACAAAATTGGAAGACAAAGATAACAATAGGTGTTGAATGGGTATATTTGGGTTTTCCAGTGCGAAATTGGAAAAGAAAGCGAATATGCGTGGAGGGAAATAGGAAGATTCTTGCGTAAGCAGCATCTTCCTCTCTCTTATTCTATTCCCTTATTTTTATTTTTGTTTCTTATATCTGAAAATTCAAAATACCCATCAACTGAAAAATCAATCACCACCTTCACCTCCTTCTCCTTTATAAATACAATACGCGCTTCTGCATTGCTACCTATTCACTCTCAGGTTTTCTCTCTCTCTTTCACTCATTCACACACATTATTGTAAACTTTTGTTTTCTTCTTTGTGGTTCTTAGTTGAAGCCGAATAATGGTTTAACTGCTATTGGAGTTTAATTCAAGGGAACCGTGATATAGTAATTAGGACGGTTATACTGTTGTTTCTTCTTTAGGAACGATGCTCAGAAACATTGTAGAGTAATTGGCCAGGTTATGTTGTTGTTGAGTTGAGACTGGCGATGGAACGCAGTTTTTCGTAGTTAATTCGAGAATGAAGGAATATGGATGGGGATTAGCTTTATAAGAATTCAATTGAGTACATAAAACGTAGAAATACCTAGTAAAATTTTAGATTATCTCTCTTAGTTAATGGTTTGTTTCCCTATAATTAGGATTGAGAGTGTATTGTATAGGTATATAAATAGGAATATGATTTTTAGTTTGATTTCGGTGCATTGATGATGTAAATAATTTGTACGACTCAGCTAGCATATGTTGCCGATTGGGTTGATCTTGGATTGGTTCTGTCTTTTATAACACTAGCTCAATAGTTTACCGTGTTGAATCTAGTTGATACAAATTGCAAATGATGATAGTCTTGTTTTTCTTTTCTACCTGAATTCAGTGCAACTGTGAAAGAGGGATTTTGTCATATCTTTGTGAATTGGGTTCTTCCTTCGGAGGAATTCTGTTATATCTTAATTCATTGGATTTTTTCGTAAGAGGAATTTTGTCACCAACGGCTACCTGTGTATTCACCTTTCTTGTTCTGTTCACCAATGAATTAGAAGTACTCGCGTGCCTATGATACATAGCTTCTAGGAGATTATATTTAGGTTGTTTTAATTGTGAAAATCTGAAGAGGGATGATGATAACGTTTCAGCTATCTAAACTGCTGAATTGGAAATTCTTTCGAAATTTGGGATATTTGTCTCATGATTATCTCAATCTCTCTTTCTTTCTCTCTCTCTCTCTATATATATAAATATATATATATATATATATATATATATATATGTATGTGTGTGTGTATATGTATATATGTATATGTGTATATATGTATATATAGATATGTATATATTAGTAAGAGGTTCAGGCGGAACAACTTTATGTATGACATATCAAAGAAAGTTGAACGAATTCGGGGATATTCATCTCATTTAATTTTGAAGTTTGAAGTCAACCGAATTTTTATCATGCCAATTAATTACGAATTACAATAAAAAGTGGGAAGGTCACCTGTTTCAAATTCTTAGATAATTTGTTAGTTGTTATATAATCACAGCCATTAGCAGTTCTTCCACTATTTTAATCATTATAAATAGGGGCAGGTCACCCGCGTGTTCTTGATTCATTTGTTATATAATCACTGCCATTAGTAGTTCTTCATTCTTGTATGTTAAAATTTTATTGTGGCGAAATTTAAAACTACGTACATACTGACTCCAACTTTTGTGAAGTAATAACAAAATTCTATTTTTGATGCAGCATTGGCTAGACTCCACTCTCCAACCGATCAGTGCCAGCAACTTCTTGCTGGTACTTACGTTGACTAAAATCTTCTGTGGGGGAGGACATGACTCATAACAGCATACTGATTCACAGTAGAGCCCTTGAGGGTGTCCATGGAGTTCAAGTGGCACCTCACTCACCGTTTGATTTGACAGAAACTATTCAAAGTGAGGACTTTCATACTTCAACTGGACGAACGTCAACTACGGAAGCAAATCAGCAGCTTCTAATGCAGTAAGTGAATTATGTACTCAGCAGAAATGTCATACAATTTTTACTGGACTGTAAATTTTTTATGACATTGCAAAGAATTGAAATTTACAACACGTGCACACGACTAACCTACTTCTTACATGTACCAGAAGACTGTGGCACCAGAGACCAGCATGCTTAAGACCCATTCATTGTAGTATTAGTTGTCATGGTAATATTGATAATTATTCTTTCCATTTGATGTTTTGTTAATTTGTTTCCCATGAATGATCCAATCTTGTGTAAATAATGGTTAGTACTGCATCCCTTTATCAGGTGATCAGAATCTTGCTGAAAGGTTTGCTAATGTGGTTACTTCAATTCCTTTTATAGCTCTTGGAATCCAGGCCCCCAGGTAATATTTCCCTCCTAGCATCGTAAATTATTTTGGCTAGAAAAATAGCTCTTGTAATCTTATAAATAACTGTGTAATGTAGGAAGAATGTCAATTCAAAGTTGTATGCTAATTCACTAATTGGAGTTGGAGTGGCCTCAAGCATGTATCATTCCTCAAGAGGAAGGTTGAGGAAATTTTTGAGATGGGTTGACTACACAATGATAGCCACAACAACTGTTGTAAGTAACATACAGATGAATAAAATTGGCTATTCAATCATGTGCAAAACCCATATTTGCTATATTCTGTACTAATAACTGGAAATTATTATGTACTAATAACCCATATTTGCAAGCTTTTATCGATATTGTCTAGACCTAATAACTGGAAATTATACCACCACTATAATGATGGTTAGAAGAACTAAGTTTTTTTCTGCAGTTATACTGGTCATCAGCACTTCTGCACGTCCACTCAATTTAGAAATGCCTTTTTCCCTAATTTTGTTTCAAATGGCAAATTTCTTGTACTTATATCGAACTTCTTTTGGAGAAAAAGGTATACTTTTTTATATTTCTTTCATATCAACATTAATGCCGAGTCACTGAATATGGAGAAAGGGATTGTTTGAAATCAGGACCATTCTATAAAGGAGAGGTTAGATTATCATTACGCTATATTCAGAAATAACCAAGTTTCAATATTTCAACATCTTATAATTTGGCCTTTGGGTTTAACTTAACTCCACAAAATTGATTTATATGGTAAGGGTTGCTCAAGTTGTATAAGGATTAATTATATCGACAATATTGCAGTCAATGTGTTATTCCAACACACCCTGTAATGCGTACTTGACATCTGGAACATGGACAAATGTGGGTGGCTCAATTATAACACTCTCTCACACTTATGAATAGACATCTAGAGCATAGACAAATACAAGTATCCAATAATAGGGCTTTTATAATCTTAGAATTTGAACTTTTAAGTCTACCTTAATCCTAAAAACCCAATTTGGAAAGGGAGGAAGCCTTATGAAGATTACATTGATTATCTGTAGTTAATGTCTTGTTGTTTTTCTCATGGTTTTACTATCCTCTGTGCCTAAAGTTTTTTTTCTTTTTTGCTTTGTTGCTTAAGTATAACAACGAAATAAAGAAGGCACATTACTTGCGTATTTGGACATGTTTTTTGTATGTGTATCATTTTTCTTTATTGTCTACCATGATATTGTTATATACTTTTCTGTGAGTAAATCATTTTGATATCATATTTGAATATAAAATCAATTCTGCAGTGTTTGTCAATGGCCCTCAGAAATGAGAATCCCAAGTTACTGATGGCAGCATCTGCAATATTTCTTCCTGTTAATCCGATGATGGTTTCAGTTATTCACACAGGGATGATGGAGGTAAGTCTTACAACTATTTATTTTTGATGATTTACATTTTATTTGTAAAGCCTGGTTACGAAGTTAACCATTAGGACTCTACAAGAATATTGCATCTCTATTTTTCTTTATTAGTTTTCAGATGGATCTTAGGTCTAGCGAACGAAACTGTTGATACTTGTCTAAAATAATTTTGGTTCCATCTTTATGCAGCCTTACAATTTTCTCGAGCACTTCAATGCATTCATGCATTCCGAATTGGTCTTTCCAAAACCTATTTTGCCGCCCATTCCTAAATCCAATTTGTTCATGGATTGAAAATATTTTTGATTGTATAATCCAGAAATATATTATACAATTCAAAAATGCATCTCGAATTGTGTAATCTAGAAATCCATAACGCATTTTTACAAATATATTTCGAATTTTTCAATTCTGAATATATTTTTGAATTACACAATATGAAATATATTTCTGAATTATACAATTCAAAAATTCATTTTCAGATTACATAATATGACAATTTAAACACAATATGAAATATATTCATGAACTGCATAAAATAAACTATGGTCTGCCATGATTCTCAATTTGTTCAAAAAGAAAAAAGATAAATATGAACCTTCTCTTTTTTTATATAAAAGGATTGAAATATGTAGTCTTGTATAATTTACTTATTAACTTGTATATATTAATTTTAGCTAGACCTTCTCAATTTAAACTTTATCAATGCGTCAGATGACTTGCACCACAGACTCTATCGTTGTTTTAATTTTTTTTTTCAAATAGTATTCTTAAATATACTCATCAAGTTATCCTGCATGTAGCAATTTAAAAAGTTTATTTTAATTTCTATAATAAAATAAAAATCGTTTTTTTTTAAATAATGAAGTATCTCCTACTAATACTTTATATCTTCAAACACGATTTCATCATTGCTTTGTAATGATAATATTCTTTTCTGTTTATATATTTTTAATTTATATATTTAAATTTTGCCTAAATATGAAATGGATTTTTCTGACTATGTCTCAAAGACAGTGGTTAAGGAATTGGGTAAAAATAATAATACACCAAAACCTATTATAAGAAATAAGAATGAGAATACATTAATAGCATTGAAAGCATTCATGCAAATGTATGGAAATGTTGTTACTCTGGCCTTTAAAATGCTTTACAGATCTGTCTATTAATTTGAGGATATGACACATAAACAAAGTTAAAAATTGCAAAAATAAATAAACGATAAATGTTGAGTAAAATAATTAGTATATAAAAGTATATCTAGCTACAATATTTTCTAGTTTGTTTTTTGGGCATCAAAGTCTAATATGTTATCATTAATACCTTTTCATTCTGGGAATATATTCTTTAAGGTGTTTTTGGCACTGGCACAGCTCTTGTATGTATTGTAGTAACATGATATGATCTTGTAAAAAATTAGCTGTAAACATTTTAGAATTAAGCTTTTCTAACCATTATTTTTCTAATTCAGGTAGCATTTGCTAAAAGAGCATTGAAGGATCCAGACTTGAGGATGGCTCACACAGTGCATAAGATGTCGTCATTACTTGGTTGTATGCTTTTTGTAGCTGATGATTTATTTCCTAAAACTCCTTACCTTCATGCTGCATGGCATCTTGCTGCTGCTGTTGGTGTTGGCACCTGCAATAAGCTTCTTGAGTAAATGTGCATACTCATTCGAAAGCTGGAAACAATGCATTCTGAATAAGAATAGCATCAGCATAATCTGTCGACTTAATTTGTAAAAGCAGTGATTGGGACCATGAGGTAGTCATTGCATCTTATTGTATTAGGTTCATGATGTAGATGAGTTCAGTGCAAATTAAGTTCCCAATTATTTACCTTATTCAATTTGTAATTTCATGTTCATTAGAAAGGGATTCATGCAGGAAAAACTGGCGTCTATTCTTCTTATTTGATGAGCATGCTGTTATAAAATATCTTGCATTATAGTTTCTACCTGCGCATGAATGTTGAGAAATTGCTTCCATGGAGAATCTTGACTTTTTTGTTTGAAGTGTGTCTTGGATTTTCTGAAATTTGGAAACATATAATACGATGGTTTTTTACATATGACATAAAAAGTCCTGCGTACATTAATGGATATTTAAGTCTTTAACTTTGGACTATCCTTGGAGGATGTCTAATATTCCACAACAATACTCATAAAATGAGTTTTTAATGTAAACAACTTGCTTTCATGTATCTTGAGTTTTGTTTTTATTCTTGCCGTTTTACTTTTATGGGCCTTGGGCTTCCATTTTTCACGTATCTGCATGTATATAAATATAACATGCATCACGTACTCTGCTGTATGTTAAAATGCATTAATAGAATCAGTTTATTACAATAGAACCTTCTTTCTTCTCGTTTCGCTATATTATCCGTTTTTGGCGTTTGATTTCATCTTTCGCGTTCATGGCAAAAGATGGTACCAGAGTGGATCCCTCTTTGCTTCAGTGCTTTCACTATATTTTGCTTCAGTGCTTTCACTATATTTTTTTTTCCATTACTAATTTTTCTTGGTCTTGCATNATGACATAAAAAGTCCTGCGTACATTAATGGATATTTAAGTCTTTAACTTTGGACTATCCTTGGAGGATGTCTAATATTCCACAACAATACTCATAAAATGAGTTTTTAATGTAAACAACTTGCTTTCATGTATCTTGAGTTTTGTTTTTATTCTTGCCGTTTTACTTTTATGGGCCTTGGGCTTCCATTTTTCACGTATCTGCATGTATATAAATATAACATGCATCACGTACTCTGTTGTATGTTAAAATGCATTAATAGAATCAGTTTATTACAATAGAACCTTCTTTCTTCTCGTTTCGCTATATTATCCGTTTTTGGCGTTTGATTTCATCTTTCGCGTTCATGGCAAAAGATGGTACCAGAGTGGATCCCTCTTTGCTTCAGTGCTTTCACTATATTTTGCTTCAGTGCTTTCACTATATTTTTTTTTCCATTACTAATTTTTCTTGGTCTTGCATATTCTTCTTTGTTGTGTTTCTCTTTAGTTTTCTTTCTTCATGGATCTCTTGCAAAAATCCTTCTAGCCCCTTTTACTTACACCCAAGGGAGAATCTAGGAATGATTCTTATCTTGCTGAATGAAGCCATGAAAAGTGCTCTCCTCTAACAAGTTTATTTTTATTATTAGAGACAATGTGGAAAATATGGTATATATAATGCATAGGAGAGGTGAAATGTGATGATCATCTCTTGGATTATGTTGTAAAAGCTGATGAAAAACAAGAGCAAAGTGGGCTTTTTTAGAGGGTATATTCACTATTTTTAAGGATTTATTTTCAGTGTATTGCATTAGTTTGAAAAATACAAAATGAACTTCTCATACAATCTATTAAATGATTTCATACTTTCTTTTAGATATCGTTTATGATTTTCCGATTCATTTCAACAATTTGGTTCAGAAAATGTTATTTATGATCTTGGCTTTAGACGTTATAGAATATGCTACTATTTTAACAATTTCTAATTAAAATCTTCTTATATATTACACTTTACTAAAATAAAATAAAATAAATAATATGTTCTAAGTTGTTATACATAAGAAGTTGTTAAAATTAAAAACATGTAAATTAAATAATTTGAAGGTTTAAAAAGATAACGTGAATCTTTTATAAGATTTAGTTATTTATATTTTAAAAATTAGTTAAGAGAAGATAAGAGATAATCTTAATTGAATTAGAGATTATAAAGATAAGATGAAAAAAAAAGAATAGAAGAAAGAGAGGGAGTTTATGAAAAACCTAAACCTTTGGAGAGAAGAGAGATAGAAAGATAAGGAAAGAGAAATGTTTTCTGGGGGAGAGAAAAGGAACAGTAAAAAACATTAGTGCAAAGAAAAATTTACAATGTTTTGAGGTTCCAGATAAAGTCCTAATATTAACTAAGATATTAATTAATATTAAATGTATATGTTTTTAATTAATTATGCACGTTGAGGTTTTTGATAAATATGTCTTCGCATATGAAAGTTTGGAAATATATGCCTTTTGTAAAATGTTACCGTAGTCACACGTCATGCATCTTGTTGTTGCATTGCTGAAAATCTCACTGTACTGCACTGCTGGGAATTTTACTGTGTTACTCTTTTGAGAATCTCTTTGTCACCGAAAGCAACCAAGATCATTACGTGAAAAAAACATGAAAAAAGATCGAGAATAAAAATATTTTTTCATTTTTGTCACTTTCAAATCACCTAAAGCGAGATTCAAAATTTTTTTTATCCCAGAGAACGTTTTCTTCTCTTGCTCTTAAATCTATTAATCCAAACTAACAGACAAGTCCTTCTTTTTCATTCTTTGTCAACGGTAACACCCTCAAGTAACTAAGCATTAATATTTTTAACTCGATCATAATGAAATCATTTACATTATTTGTTAATTAAATATTTTGTGATACCAACTTAATTTCAAGGTTGTAAAAGAAAGAAGAAAATAATTAATGCGAAATAATAGATAATATATAAACTATTTTATTTGTTCATATTTCTTTATTTTGTTTCCGGTTACACTACACGAAACATGAAGCATAACAACTGTCACATATCACAGAAAACCCTTGTCTTGAAAACTTGTAATGCAATCATCAAACATCCTATCTAGGGTTATGAATGGAGGAAACCCCAACTGAGTAATTTTGGTGGTGTCCATGCTGTGTGGGTTATCATCTCCCTGCTGGCTGCTGCACCTGTAACAATGAGACCAGACCTTGAAAAACATAGGTGATTTGTAGCAAAATGTTTTTAGATCATTTAATTTGTAGTAAATTAGTGGAATGTTCTTTCTAAAGTGTATTAAATTTAAAATAAGCTTGCTTTTTGTGCTTCAAATTCACAATTGATGTTCTTAATTCTTAGTCAGGCTTGTAATTTGAAAAATAGATTTGCTTATTTCCGTGTGCAAATATTTTTTCTTATTTAAACATGGTCTGAATAAATAGTTTTTAGAAAAACACACAGGTAGATACTTGATGCTCAAAACTAAAAATATCTTATTATATACTTATTATTCCATAACTATGCCAAATCTTAACTACATTTCCACATAGGGTTAAATATGTTTTTAGTCCCTAAACTATTGGTCGTTTCTGGTTTTCGTTCCTGTTTCAAAGTAAGGTACAGTTTGGTCCTCATTCTTTTCGAAACGTTCGTTTTAGTCCTCGAAAACTAAACACTGGTTAAAAATTTGGTCCTCATTTAGCAACAAATGAGGACTAAAACCAAAATTCCGAGGACTAAAACGAACGTTTCGAAAAGAATGATGACCAAATTGTACCTTACTTTGAAAGAGGGACGAAAATTAGAAACGACCAATAGTTTAGGGACTAAAAACATATTTAACCCTTCCACATATGCCCATAACAAGTTTTTGTCAAATTACAAAACTAAATTAAGATAATATAAATAAACTCTTGAATAGGGTTATGATAAACTAAAAAACAAAAAATTTAGAGTGAAAGTTTAAGATTTTCCTAATTCGTAGTTATATTATCTTTCTATTTACAGCTAATTATGATTGGTATATAAATAACAATTTATACCTCTTACAATCTGTTAGATATAACATACTAAAAATATGATGGTTGATTTTATTATTTTTTTATCCCTAAATTTTTTGTTTGAATTAGATTATCTTCTACTATATTTTTCTGAAATTATCACAATCATTTATAAATAATAGTACAGGCTAGTCCGATAATATTATGATTGATTGAACTATCCATTTAATAATCTATTAGATTTATAGAAGTTATTCTAATTTATATCTAGTTTTAATTAATTAACTTAATAATATGATTTTACTCACTTGTTTTCAAATGGGTAGGAGGGATATTTGGAACGAAGCATTTGAATGATTTGTGACCAATGAGCTACTGTGCTCGAACAAATAAGCCTTCCAGATGCATTGGTATCTTCCATAGCCAACAAGTGAGCAGCTACAACATCATTTATGTGGACAAACCCCACTGTTGTATTAGGATATTCCCCTTTCATGCCTGTTAAAAGATATATAAATAAAAAATGTAAAAAAGTGAATCATGCAAATTTTTAGAAGTAGATTGAGAAATTTTTAGAAGAAGATATATTGGAGAAATTTAAAATTATTGTTTTCAATCATCACATACGACATGACTTAATGTTTAGTTATGTATGTAGTATACAATTTGGATAGTTTCTACCTAAAATTTTCACAAGAGAAAAAAATATATAAACTAAAATTGGGTTATATAGACACTAAAATTGGGTTATAGACACACGTGTTAAGCTTTAGTATTTAAGGAAATTCATAATTAAGTCAAATCATATTAAATTATGCAGTTTATACAAAAAATATATATTTTATTTTAATGTTTCTTACCGAAAAGTATTTATCAAAAAAATTACCTAATATGAATTTTCTTTATAAAGATTTCTGCATAAACAAATAAAAAAAATGAAATTGTAACTTCTTTATAAATTAAAACTTACTTCTGGATAATTTGGAAACTAAATTTGTAAAAAGTTATGAGATAATCTTTATATATTTATGCACAAGTCAATTTAAATTATGAATTAAATATATATTTCTCTAAGAAGGTTTCATAGAAAAGAATTTGACACTATAAGGAAGATTTTCAAATATAAGGCAGTTATTCAATCTAGCAATCATCTGGTCTCAATCATAATTTTATAAGATTTGCTTATTGACCTATATGTTTAAAACATCTATCCTTGTCCCCATTTTTATTAAAAAAAACGTTAACCCAATGAGCACTCAAATAATAAAAAATAAATTAAGCAGTTAGTGTTTTGTGACATCAACATTTTAATTAATGGAATTTCTTAATCAACATTTATACATAAAAATAAAAATAAAAATGAAAAAAAACAAATCTATCCTAAAAGGTAAGAGTAATCAATAATCTTTTCAACATGAAAATATCTCTACAAACTAGTTTATGTTAAATCAATAAAATAATATTATATTTGGGTTTACAATGCATCAATTTCTCATTTTTCTCTCAATACTTTTGTGTATTAGAATAATTTCAAACCTACAAAATAATTTACACTTTTACCATTTGAAAGAGAGAATAGAAGAGGAGGAAATTTGTAAGAGCAGATAACTAATCACGAAACACATAAGTTAGATTGTCAAATCATTGAAATTGTTAAAAGAATGGATGATGAGTTATCACCAAGATGAAAGTTACCCGTTTTTCAAAGTGATAATCATAATCGAATAATTGAAATTTATGAAAATGGTAATTGCCTGTTTTTTAAATCTATAAACCAACAATTAGTGATTGAAAAAAAAAAATTAAGTTTACGTCAAATATGAAAAATTTGTGTAACATAAGATGGCGATCTACTAACCTTTGACAATGGCAAGTATCAAGAGGAGTGTACTTGTTGGTTGTGGTGCAAGGAGTGGACCAACAACGAAAGATGGGTTAACCACAACTACATCAATTTCATTTTCTTTTGCTATTCTCCAAACCTCTCTTTCTGCCACCGTCTTTGCATATGCATACCATAACTGCACATATTTCTAATACTTTAATACAATGCCAACTACACAAACATATAATAGTTGTGAAATTGGGTAGAAAGTGCAATTACGTTGTAGCGTTTGCAGTACTCAAGGTCTGTCCAATGAGATTCATTAAGAGGACAGAGTTGTTGCACATCATCACGGTATCTTATGGAAGAGCAAGAAGAAGTGAGCACAAAACGTTTCACATTTGCCTTTAAGCAGGAGTTAAGCACGTTCAAAGTTCCTTTTACGCATGGATCAATCAAATTCTTCTGTGATATAAGTCAAATCATGATAAATCTTAGTATAAGAAGCTACTAATAAAGAACAAACTTCACCCTACGTCAAAACAGAGAAGGCTTATTCACAAACAATTTGTGTTCACATCGTTTAGTTTTGCTAAAATCACATTTCCATATTATCATTTAGTTCATTATATCAAAGTCAGTTCTACTAAATTTAGGCATATTCAACTTCATGTCAGATTCTTCAAAATAACAAGATATTAAAAAGGCAAAGATACCTGAACGTTTTCGTCGAATGGAACAAGCACAGGTGAAGCCGTATGAAAGACACCATCAACTCCTGTCACTGCCTTCTCAAAGCTTCCTTCTACTAAGAGATCTGCTTTCAAAATCTTCAGTCTTTCTTTCGCTCCATTGAGTTCGCTCAGAAAACCAACCTTCTCCTCATCCTCTGATAAAAAAATAAATAATTAAATTCAGAACTGTAGCAAGAGACAGAAAGTGGATTACTAACAAAATTTATCAACTGTTATACAAATCACTAGAAAATCGAAATCGAAGGAGAAAGTTCCATCTATAAACCAATTACTTGAAACAAAAATTACATATTCAACTAAGAAATACAAATTTATATTACTAAAAAAAACTTATTTCTACAAATTATACAAATTTAATGGCATACCTGGGTTTCTCACGGTGGTCGTCACCGTATGACCCTTTTCTAATAAGGTCTTGATTAAGTGCGATGCGATGAAGCCAGTACCTCCTGTCACGCAAAACTCGGGCATTTCTAACTACTTTATCTTCAGGTTCTTCGTTTCAAAGTCTCACTTCGTTTCAAAGGAAAGGACTCTTATTTACCTCTCACCACTCACTACGAAAGAATAGACAAAACTCAAAAATCGATAACACCAGAGAGGCACGTGAGATGTGTGTCCCATTCTAGGAAGAAACAGGATAGTCATGTGAAATGCATTCTCCTCTGTTTGGTGGGACACATGATTTTCATTTGATTTCCAGGATAAGGCTTTTGTATATCTAAATGTTATTTTGGCAGAATTAAAAGTTAAACTAGAATAATTAGTAACAGCTTTTTCTATTAGTCATCTGATTTTATATTATGTAAATTGTATCATAAAAGTATACTTTGTTTGCTAAGACTAATAGAATTATAGAGTTAAATTTAAGAAGGAATTGAATGAAACTTTTACCAAACTACGAAAACAAAGAACAAAACTTTTATGAAATAAAATGAACAAGATATCAACATAATAAAATAGTTGTACGTTGATTCACAATGGTGTGTGGTGGGTGAGGCTTTAATATATTCTAACAACTTAATTAAGTCGTATAGTTTGTTGAGACAAAATCGTTTAGAGAGAATAAATCATCTAAAGCATTTTTAATTTTGAAATTTAACTCATAACATTAAACAAAATAATCTTGAATAATCAAATGTCTAAGAAAAAGGAATAAACATAGATATATCATGCAAATAATAAAATCTTATTCTCGAGTGATCATAAGAGAAGGCGTTTGAACATCAAATAACAAACAAGAAGCATGAGGTTAATTAGAAAAAGAAGTTAGAGAGAAAAATGTCTAAAGATTATAAACATATAAGCGTCAGGCCAAACGAGAGTAAAAATCAAAGGTTATATCTAAGGCTACATGAGGCGCTTAAATATTAAATAGCGAAAAAGATAAGCTAAAATGGCATGATGTATTCTTGAGAAGAAGCATCTTATCAGTAGGAAAAACCTACACATACTTGTTAAGACACTATGCTTAAAAATACATATACGTTCACAAAGAGATAGGCATAAAAGTGTCTAAGTGGATCTTGTAAAGAAATGAGTGTAAAAATCTATCAAATGAAACATGCTTTGTTGAGTAGATAGGGTGACTCTAACCATAAGGCTTTGGTGAGCAGGCAAAGTAACCAATAAGTTACATGGGAAAGACATATTGGTTGTGTTTGTAGGATGATCCTAACCGTAAGGCTTTGTTCATGAGTAGGTAAAGGGACTCTGATTATAAGGCTTTGTTGACCATTCAGAATAATCAATAGATTCTATGAGAATGACCTTTGGTTTGGCATCACTTTGGAGGTAATGTGTCTATGGCATAGTTTTTTGTTAACGTGATGTCCATCTTGTGACATGTTTGTGGTGTGAACTCTTTGTTAGTATTGAATAACTGAGTAGAGTGAGTATGATTATTGTATACTATTTGACTAAATCCTCTTAACTTGTGTTGTTATACAAAAATAGAGGATATTTCACATGTTGTTGAAGAGAAAGAATATACATAAGAAAATCTTAAAGGAAATTTTTAGGACAATGTTTTTTTTTATTTAACGTTTTGAAACACTGTGTTATCGAGATTTTCACTTAGTTTCATTTTAATTTATGATATTAAATAAAAACTTTATTTATTCACTTTTTTATAATGGTATTATAAATTTTTAACTTAAATGGAATTTTTATAAATTACTCGTAACATCTTGAAAAGTTACAAATATTTCTATATAAATAGGGTAATAATATATAGGGTTAAATATGTTTTTAGTCCCTGAACTATCAAGCGATTTTGGTTTTAGTCCCTACTCAGAACTTTGATGGTTTTTAGTCCTTATTGTTTTGAAACTCTGATTAATAGTCCTTAAAATTGGACGGTGTTAAGTTTCAGTGGATGTGGCAAACGGCGTTGCCACGTAATCACTCATATGCTCTATTCTCTGTCTGCCACGTTGGATGTTTAAGTGTTTAGGGTTTGATTAAGTTAATTAATTACGTTCTTCGTTGAAATCAGATATAGGGTTCACAGTGAAATTAAATTTTTGAATTGGGGGAAAATTAGTTTTACTTTATCCAGTTCAAGAGTCGCTTGACGACATCCTTGGAGTCCTTGACAAAGCCCACCGCATGTTCTTCCTCCACGTCTCTTCTTAGCTTGTGCAGCGATTGCAACCTTTTCTCCTCCTCCTCATCTTCTGCTGCGGATTGATTAGTGGCTTCTCTGAAAGCATCATATTTGTCCTTGTTGTCGCGTATCTCGTTGAGAGTGGTTTTGAGCTTGTCTATTTTGTCGGCTACGTGGCGGAGCAACCTTGCTTGGCCAAAGCCACGGAGCATCCTCCCCAGAAGGGTTCTCCTTTTGTAAATGGAAACTTTGGCTACGAAAGTGTCGATGACATCCTCAGCTAAGTGGGCCACATCTCTGATTTGGTTCACAACAGTATGTTCCATTCCCTTCTTTCTCTTTGTGGTATTGAGGAGGTCTTTGATCATTTGAAGTTCGTACTGTAGGGA